GCAGGTGTGCTGGCCGTATTGTGACCCCACTGAAGAAATGGGACCTCGAACGGCATCCTCCAGCGTGCCGACTTGGCCTGAAAGTGATGAGTGACTGCATTACGTTGTTGCGCCAAGCTGCGGTATGGGGCATGGGTGCTGTCAGCAAAGTGTACCGTCAACTGCTCCTGTCCCTGCCATATAACCCATCACTCCGTACTATGCGACTTGAGAGTATGTTTAAGTTGTACAATTTCCAGATAAAAAATGTCTTTGGATTGTAAAATAGTACTTTTAACTCCTAAAAAAAGTCCTAAACAGGCCTAATTGAACACCTTCAAGGCAAGTACCTTGTACATTTTTATTGCAAAATAGGCGATTCCCGCTGCGATTTTTTTCTTTGGAACAATTAATCCGAAATTAAATTTCATTCAGGATTACGATTCCGATATTACCTAAATAAATCCTAGAACCAACTAAACATAGGTCGACATGGTACTAACACTGTAAATAGAGATCATATAGGACGAATATTCTAAAAAAATATGCAAATGAAGTGCTGGTCAAAACACAAAAACAGCAACTCGAAATATTTTTGAGTTACTTGTGCTTGCTATCAAAGAGCTTGGCCATCAACATCATGTGCAACTCGTCGCGGCGGTCTTGGCGGACGCGCTCCTCGGCACGCCATTCCATTTCTCTCATGTGACGTTGTTCTTCTCGCTCAGTCGAACGCGCTTCCATTATCATCATCATAGACATGAAATCTGACGACGCCTTAGCGTCAGCCTCCGCAGCTCCAGCAATGAACTTGTCCAACGACTGGCGCTTTCTCGCGATATTAGAAAGCATGCCACTACTCTCAGTCGCACGCTGCCGTTTCAAATCCTTTCCAAGCTCGATGAGCTCGTTCCTGGGCAATCCCGTTTCAATTCGGCTTGTCGTCTATGACAAATATCAATCAATCACGTATATTAGCACTCGTACTTAGCTGATCATCCTCGTGTAGGGAAACTTCACACTCAGCGACGTCGAAAGGTCCATCCACGGCGTCATCGACGTCTTCATCAGCGTCCTCGTCCTCCATCGAGCACACACCAACGTTTTTGTCGATATCGCGACTGAATCGCTTCGCCCGGCGTACGTCGGGGGGGCACTCGGGTGACCAGTGGGCTTGGCACGGTTTTTGAGTGTTGCGAACTTGCGACGGAGCGAGTCGATGTCTCGTTTTGGGAACGCCTTTCCATCGGTGTTGTAGGCATCAGCTACCTTTGTCCAGACATTGCGTCCTGCTGGGAGGAACAGCTCTATCTTGTCGAGCATGAGCTCGGTCGACGCAGGACGCCACCCTTTACCACGACGCGGCATAACGTAGAATGGCTGGCCACGTATCCGTTCCCTCAGAAATATTGTACTTCTTTATAGAGGTATATTTGTGTGGTTAGACGACACATATCACAATTCTGTGCAGACCACAAAATCGTCTCCACAAAATGTGTCGCGGATTTTTATTTGAAAAACAGAGGTTTTGTGACATCGACTCAAATTCATTGTGTAGGTTTTGGGAGTCCCCCATTTTCCAACACACGCATGGATAAACATGCTGCACTTTGCGCTGCTGTTGTTGCTGTAGCACATGCGGTTGTTTCAAGACGGTCGAAGCAACCGTGGCCCGAAAGTACAACGCTTCGTTGTGAAGACCACAACATGATCATAACAAGTCAAGGACAACCCTGGGTACGAGGGATGGTTTCGCCGGTACGTTCGCTGCCGCCACGACGTTTTGAAAAACATTGCACTCAAAGTAGGTCGGAGTTGGGAAGATGTCCACGCGCCGTTGCATCACAATGCCATCTTCATGGTGGATGACCGAGTTGCTTGCGTCCTGCTTTACCTCACACATGCGGACGGTTACGATGCATCCGCGCTCGTGGTAGACAAATTCTTGCGGAGGTACTTGGCTCTGAACACGACGTCTCCATCCGACTCGGCCAAGTAGAAACGTGTCTTGCCTTTTTGATACTTAAACCCCATATGTCTCAAAACCCTGCGAAGAGTGCGCCTGTGTACGCTCACGCCATGCACATCTTCGAGCGTCCTGGACAACGACTCGGCGGACACTGGCAGGCATTGGGTGTTTGCACACTCTACAATTTCTCTAAGTTTCGTGGTGAAGTGGTCGGCAGGCGATCGCCGATTGGACAATCGTACTCGCTGCGATGCCTCGAACATTGGGTCCTCGTTCTTCCTTTACTCGGCAAGGACGCGTCCAATGGTTGCCTGGCCGAACCCGAGACATTCGCTGACACTGTGTTGCGTACTTTGACGGACTGCCCAGGGTCCCAAGTCGCAAACATGCACCACAGGACATCCTTAGGGGTGACACCGTGGGCGGCGGCAACGGCTCCGGACGCTTGGGACAGGCTGGTGCGATCAAAGGGCGACAGATGACGGACAGTCTATGTATAGTACGTGTCCGGGACAGTCCAGTTAGTTTTCATTGGTTATTTTAGTTAGGGGTAGGTTCCCCGTTGGCCCGGGGAATACTAGTCAGTCCAGAATTTGCTTCCTCGAGATCTATACACTGCGCCATGCGTTCCTGGGAGTTGCCGCTCCCCCAACATTGTGTTTTCATTTCGTGGATACGCCACAAAGTATACTTTAGTGCTACCGACCTTTGCGGTAGAGACGTGTCTGGAAGACGCATGTGAAGAACAACAAGAACCACGAGTGCGAGATGGTGGAAGCGAACGTTACGGTGGAAGCTGGTATGGAGGCGACAGTAGCAGCATCCGTGAGCGAGGCAGAAGCCGTGAACACGACAAAAGTCGTGACCATGGCCGTAGCCAAGGTCGAGGAATGACCGCGAACAATTGCTACATGGACCTACCCGTGTGTCCTAACCTCCACTCGATTGCCCAAACCGAAGTTTACCGTTGACTGATCATACGCAAGGCGTATGAAGCGCGACTTGAAGATGAGTGCCGCAGGAAGAACATCCAGTTTCCGCGAACATGTAACAAGCTACGTGGCGTGGCTCTCGGACAAGCAACTGCTGTGTACCATGATGTCGATCTGGAAGATCCGCGGAGAGCCCGATACATGTCGGAGCAAATCCTCAAGGACAAGCTTCAAGACATCGCCAAGAAGCCAATGAACGACGTCAGCCCTAACTTGAAAACCTGTTCGATGATATCGAGTTCAACATGCGTGAAGAAGATGTGCCCATGCGTGCAGCGGACTACATGACGGCGTGTTCGGAGCGAATCGACGTGCGTGCAGCCGGCGAGATTCTCCGCACACCCGACATCCGAAAGCGTATGTACACGTCATTGTTGAACCAGCTGCCTGGCAAGGTGAGCGAGTACACCAAGGACGCCTTCACGAAGAAGTGGGACCCAGTCGACTTTGAGTGGGGTGACCTGATCCAAATCGTGGTGGACATATCCGTGGAGCGACAAACGTATTGGATGCGTTGGGGTGCTGGTGCTGGAAAGCGAAGTGGGACCAAGAGCCCGAAGCACAAGAAGAGCAAGCACGACCATGATTATCAAAATCGTGGCCAAGACAAGAAGTCAAGCCGAGATGACGGAAGACAGCAAAGCCGTGGACGCGACCAAAGCTGAGGACGCGACCGAAGCCGAGGGCGCGACCGAAGCCGTGGGCGTGAGTACAGTCGTGGACGTGAGGAGAGTCGCGGATACGACCGAATTCGTGGACGAAGCCAGGAAAGCTACCACAGTGTGCGTGAACGACATGGAAGTCGTGGATGCACAAGCGAGCGCAATCAAAGCGCGTACCGTGGAAGCAATTACTCCCGCCACAGAGGCAGTTCCCAAGACGCTACGTTTGGTTGGCCCAGAAATGACCAAGGCGCGAAGTGTGGAACACCTCCGGCGCAAGCAATCGATCGCAACGCGGGATATCAAGATTCGGGCACGAAGCGAAACACGAGTACGAACCGTGTGAGCGTGCCGCGTTTTGGCGGTTGGGGAAACCCCAAAGGACAAGGAAACCCGGGAAAGAATCCCTATAAGATTGTCAATCGAACAACTCTGCCTATTCCGCTGCGTTACAACAACGAACAGCAGGTCGTCAGGAAGACGGAGCGGATGTACGGGAAGTAATCCTAGACGAAGCCGGGGCACTTGCACTCGTGGGACAGCCCAAAGGGGAGCTTCCTCCCAACTTCCATGTGCAGAACCCGCATCCACCATCAGTGGTCCTTGGAGAAGACATGGAACTTATATGGATGAGCGTGTCGGTCGACTACGGCGGCGAATGGAGATCATGTCTGGCCAACCGCATTACAACAACGTATGGTGCGATGGAATCCGAACCGAGTTTGGAATCAACAAATACTACCACTGGATGACCGAGCTACCCATCCTGGACGATCGAACCGTGCACCCGGTGCAGTGCCTGTTTTGCGGAGACCACGAACGCCTGCATCATTTCAAGGACTGCCCCGACATCGACCAAGAGGGCATCGACCGCATCAAGTGGATGTGGGGTTGGCGAATGTGTGGCTACCTGCGCAACCCTAAGTTCCAGAAGTACGCGAAGAAGACAGCGCAGATGCGAAAAATGCTGGGCAAGAAGTTCTATCGCATCTACACGCCCGATAATGCCATGAACATGGCAACCCTCAACAGCGTACTGGAAGTACCGTTTTGTGCCGACTCTGGAAGTTATGCACATTTCAGAAGAAATGCTGGAAGCATTGAAGACGAAGACTGAAATCGACGTGGTTCAATTGGCGAAGACCTGGAAAGGTTACGCTGTGGACGAACAGCCGGTGTATGCAGACGTGGCGGCGAACCTGCGAATCTGTCTGAGCACTGCAGCTGGACCTGCCAACCTACCCGGTGTGCAACTATGCTACGTACTCAGCCGCAGCGACTCATTGCTCGTCTCGCGCTATGCGTTGCAGTCCATTGGGATCGACTTGAACCATTTGTTGGAACAAGTCGCTCAACACCAAAGCCATGAAGACGGTGATGACGTGGGTGTACCCGACGAAGACGAAGACATTGCCTTCGGGGTGGCGACTCGTCGTTTGCAAGGTGGTGAACAAGACCTCGACAAACTCGATGAAGATGCCGCAGTGTCACTGTTGGAGAAAGCGTTTGAAACGCTCAAGATAAAGGACACAGGCAAGTACGTTAAGACCCACAAGCTCAAGGACATCGTCATGCAGGCCTGAGCCAAGGGCGTTTGGCGCGCACAATTCCGTGGAACACATCAAACAGAGAACGTACCAGCGATGGGCAGATGCCCAGCCGCACCGATGCAAGGCCCGCAAGAGTAGTCCTATAGAGACGAAGTTCCTGGATGCATTTGGAAACCAGCTTGAAGAAGATGGTATTATCGATCCGAGCTCTTCCAGTGCATA